GTCGTCGTCGTCGTCGTCGTCGTCGTCGTCGTCGTCGTCGTCGTCGTCGTCGTCGTCGTCGTCGGAAAATCTCGCCTCCCTCGCCCTCGTGTTACCTCCTTTCGCTTTCGCTTGCCCCCCGAATGGTCGGATTTTGGGTTTGGTCATCGCAATGTTACACGCCCTAAACTCTCGTAGCACCACGACACTCATATTCCTAGCAGCTAGCGAAGCAACCAGAAGTCTAGCGCACTACCATCATCAGAGCATTAGTGCAGGCAATCGATAAACTAGATGACGAGAGTAGTAGCAGAGTTTCGCCGTCGTCAAATGCGCGAATCAGGGTTACGGCCGTCATCATAGCGACTCGCTAATCTGCTAATATCCATAGTAAGGGTCGCTGATCCCCTAACATCCATACCGATCGTGGCTTATTTGCTAATATCCATAGCAACAGTCGCTGATTAGCTAATATCCATCCGCTGATGACTGGCCAAACAGCGGGAGGCCGAGATGGCTAAGGCGGCGAGAAGCGAGCGCCGCTAGCACATGTGTACAACGATCGGCGAGCGGCAAAGGATGAATGGCGACTCGAACGTTGAGCGTCGTGCGAGCCGCGTGCGAGCCGGCGAGTAGCGAACTGCACGGTAGACAGCGTGCGCATGAGGAGAGGTGGCGACCAACCGCGTGCGACGGGTGTGCGGGACCAACCGAGTGCAACGGGTGTACGGAATGGCGACCAACCGCGTGCGACGGTGTGCGAGGTGGTGACTTGCCGCGCGCCAAGGTGTGCGGAACGGCGACTTGCTGCGTACGATAGTGTGAGGAACTGTGCGGAACGGCGACTTGCCGTTATTCGCCGGTGTCGCAGCCCAATCGGCGACGGTCGCCACAGAACTGGCGTTGCTCGTTGCTCGTTGCAACCAGCGCGTCGATTTCCGCTTGCTCGCTGCATCCACTCCCGCTTTCCCCACCCGTCGACCTCGCTTTCCCCCTCCCGTCGACCTCGCTTTCCCCCTCCCGTCGACCTCGCTTTCCCCCTCCCCTCGACCTCGCTTTCCCCCTCCCGTCGACCTCGCTTTCCCCCTCCCGTCGACCTCGCTTTCCCCCTCCCGTCGACCTCGCTTTCCCCCTCCCCTCGACCTCGCTTTCCCCCTCCCCTCGACCTCGCTTTCCCCCTCCCCTCGACCTCGCTTTCCCCCTCCCCTCGACCTCGCTTTCCCCCTCCCGTCGACCTCGCTTTCCCCCTCCCGTCGACCTCGCTTTCCCCCTCCCGTCGACCTCGCTTTCCCCCTCCCGTCGACCTCGCTTTCCCCCTCCCCTCGACCTCGCTTTCCCCCTCCAATCGACCTCGCTTTCCCCCTCCCCTCGACCTTCTCCACCCTTCCCAGTGCCCGTGTTTACCACTTCCTCTATCTCCCCACCCTAAGCTTCACTCTCACCCACGTCCTCCCATGCGAAACAAAGTCATCCGCTTTCCTCTTCCTTCGTCCCATCCCTCCAGCCTCCCAGCCTAATCAAGCCCTTTTTTACCTTCAATCGATGCGAGCGATCCTTTTTGCGGATGCCTCTTTCCCCCTTCTCACTCTCTCCCCTCCTCCTCACTATGTTCCCCCCTGCTCACTCTCTTCCCCCTGTCCTCACTCTGTTTGCCCCTTTCTCATTCTCTTCCCCCCTGCTCATTCTCTTCCCCCTGCTCGCTCTCTTTCCCCTGCTCACTCCCTCTCCCACTGCTCATTCTCTTTCCCCTGCTCACTCTCTTCCCCCTGCTCACTCTCTTCCCCCTGCTCACTCTCTTCCCCCTGCTCACTCTCTTCCCCCTGCTCACTCTCTTCCCCCTGCTCACTCTCTTCCCCCTGCTCACTCTCTTCCCCCTGCTTCCCCGCTTTCCCTCGCGCTGCTTCCCCGCTTCCCCTGGAGCTGCTTCCCCCATTCCGTATGAGCTGGTTTGACACATTCCCTACTGAAGGCTTTCCCCTTCTCCTACACCCTGTCCCTCCCCGTCCTATACACACCATTCCCCTTTCCGTACCCGCTGGCTCCCCCTTTGCCATCTCTCTGTTCCACCCTTCCCATCCCTCCCGTTGCCAAATAACCAATTTACCCAGCATCGTTTCCCCGCTGCCACTCATTCTTTTCCGCCTGCTTACCCATTGTTGCCCCCCCTCTCACTCTTTCTTTCCCCCCTGCTTACCCATTGTTTCTGCCCTGCCCACTCTTTCTTTTCCTCCTGATCTTGCTCTCCCCTTCCTTGTCCCTATGCCACTCGTTATCTTGCAAGCAGGTTATGCTTCTCTGTCTGCTCCTTCGCACCTTCCCTCTCCCTTCAGTGGTGCAGATCGTCAAGCATGAAGCAACCAAGATGACAACTAGGTGAACTTGGGATAGTGTGGACCCCCTCAGTGTCGAGAATCGTCGAGAATAAGTTTCCACAGTTATTCGCAACAGAACATACATTCAATCAGGGTTCAGGATATCCAATAATGATGGCGTTCGTGATGTTTGGTTCTGTGTGAAGGTTTTTTGCAACACTGCTACATGTGTAGAGTACAATTGTTTTCTAAATATCTCGAATTACAAAACAGTGTGTCACCACTCCTCTTAGTGCCTCAGCTCCTCCATGTGCTCTTATGCCTGCTGCCACACCCTTGTGCCATCAAACATGTGAAGGCATGGTTTCGTCCTGCACATAGCAGGACACTACAGGAGGTCGCACACTCACATGGCGATGCAGGGAGAAGAGATGGCGAGGCAGGGAGAAAACAAAACGGAGGCAGGGAGGTGAAGAGATACGAATGGAAGGGAAGGGAATACTAGAAGGGTTTGGAATGACGGTACGGTAAGGGGAAGGGAAGGGAAGGGAAGGAATTAGAGGGGAATGGAAGCGAAGGGAGAGGAAGGGTTGTGCATTGTGAGGGAGTGAGAAGGTGCTCTGTGAGGGGGAACGGGGTGGTGCGACCTGGGGGGAGGGGAAGTGCGACCTGGGGGAAAGGGGAGGTGCGACCTGGACAAGGGGAGGCGGGTGGTCCAAGTGACACGGCTAAGGTAGCTGCATTTGGACAGGGGGATAGAGGAGGACAGGGGGAGAGAGGACGGTGGAAGGAGAGGAGGGCCAGGAGGGAGAGAGGTGTGGTTCGAGAAAGGAGGGCAGGGGGTAGAGAGGAGGACAGGGGGGGGGGGGGGGGAAACAGGGGAACTAGGGCCGGGAACACGGGGACGAAAGGGGGGAAAACGCGGAGAAGCATGGAAGGGAAGGAGGGAGAGCAGGAGGTGGAATTAAGGCAACGAAAGGCGAGAGATGGAGAGCATATAGTGGTGACCTGGGGGGGAGTGAGAAATGAGGGAAGGAGGGATGAGGATAATGGGGTTGGAGGGGAAAAATCAGGGGAAGGGAGGTGGGACATGAGGGAGAAAGGGCTCCGAGGGATCGCCGGAGGTAGAAAGAGGGGAGAGAGAGGGAGAGGGCGTGAGGGGGTCATAGGATGAAGGAGAGGGGGGGAGGGATCGGAGTAGTTAGTTGAGAAGGAAGGTGAGCGTGACAAGGAGATTCTCAGAGCGGGGAGCGGGATAGGAGGAGATAGGTAGAGGGGAGGCAGCGAGGCGGCGAGGCGGCAAGGCGGCGAAGCGGCGAGGCGGCGAGGCGGCGAGGCAGCGAGGCGGCGAGGCGGCGAGGCAGCGAGGCGGCGAGGCGGCGAGGCAGCGAGTCGGCGAGGCGGCGAGGCGGCGATGTGGCGAGGCGGAGGATGGGCTCTGGCGCGTCGGGGAGGCGGATGCGAGGTGGCGACACGGCGAGGAGGCAGCGACGACGTGAAAACGACGCGCCGCGCAGGTGATAACAGCGCGAGCTAGCCGCGATTTTGCCATTAGCATGTGATGAGGCTTGGCGCGTTGTACCCGTATATGCTCTGTCGTAGTGGCGCTAGGGAACGTACGAAATGAATCTGCGTGGTAAGGGGGTACCTCTGCGTTCAAGCTGAAGCTCTCTTTGGTTATCACTTGCTTCTGATATTCAACAATCAACTCACGTTTGCTTTATCACTTGGTTGGTTGTGCCCTAGGCTTGACTTCCGCCCTGGTGCGGAGTATTCCCCCAACGCAACCTCCGTACGAAATAGGTTGGCGTCTCCAGCCTTGTTTGAAACTCTCGCCCCAGCTTTCCGTACCCTATACAATTCGTTATCGAATCAGCAAGCGTTAAAGGGGGACCACTGACAACGCCCCCAAAAACCACCCTCATGAAAGTTCACCCTTGCTTTAATCATGCAATTTGAATGGTTGCGGAACCGGCAGGGATGCTCATTAAAACCACGGTCTCAAGTAAGCTAAGGAGCCGTCAACTGCAAAGCAGTTGAAGCTAGGTTACCTAGTTATTGCAGACGAAGTTCTCTCTAATTGGGTTGAAAAAACAGCTTGCGACACACCCCGTCATATCCCCAGAAGCGATTGCACAAGGGCCAACATCATATACATGCAAATTAGTCTGGTAACCCTATTCGATGGTATGCAAAACCGTCGATACCTCGGTTTTGGAGGTATTGACATATTGCCGTAGTATCACGATTCTTTTGAATCAACGCACTGATTTCTAACGCGCTTTTATTTCCGCTGAACTTCGATTTATTCGGGCTACTGTTCGCCAGATACGCAACACTGTTCACTATACCTGACAGAAAAAATAAAACCCGGTCGGAAAGGGATGCACTTGGGGAGGCATCAACCCTAAATACAATGCTTTTCCCGTGTTTAGGGTTGATCCCTCCTTGAAAGGAGTCCAGGTCCCTAGGGGTTTTATTTTTTTCTTGCCTGCCCTAACAGTACCTGGTAGCAATATATGGGGTGCAATATATTGTTACAAAAATGACACCGTTAACTTTCATTCGATGGATTTTCCTGTTAAAATTATCGTGCACATTTAACGGAAAATTGTTGCCCGCAGGAATCTTTGTTAGGCGTCAAACAAAGCCCGGTGAAAAAAACTATGAAACGAAATTGAAAATGCAATCGATTGTTTCACCCATTGCATCCTTTTTATGCTGCATCAGCTGTTACACAGTGTTTTATGTGGCGCTACCAGACAAATTTGCGAAGCAGAACTGGGGTATCGACGGTTTTGCATACCATCGAATAGGGTTACCAGACTAATTTGCATGTATATGATGTTGGCCCATTGCACAACACTTTTGGGTACTTGAGACTTTCGATGAGTTGGGGGCATTTTAGGTTTGGCTCCGAGCCAAGTTTCCAAGCCTCGAAGGTTTGGGTACAACCAGCGATTTGAGTTTGCTTCGCACCCCTCGCTTCAACCCACTTCAAACCTTCTACTTCGCTAACCAATCACAGCCAAACTTTCACCATCAAGTGCAAAACACTTGTAGTACTTGAGACCTTGGCTTTAAAAGTTGCTTTCGCAACGGCCACCTGATTTTGATGGCCAAATTGAGTTTCAGGGCGATGTTACACGCCCTAAAGGCATGAAACATGCCGGTTTTTTTTTTTTTTTTTTTTTTTCGAAAAGTTCACACTTCCAGTACGTTTCAGAGCGGTAAATTCCCATGATGTTCCACGCCAGCGGGTGCACTTTCCTAGACCCACTCCTAGGATGGTAAAATTTCTCACATACTAAACTTGACGAGTCCTTAGCGAGAAATAATCTCGTGACTTCTAGCTCGACGAAAGCGAAAAAGCACAAAAAGAAATATTCCGTTCGTGTATGGAATTTCTCGGCATTCCTTACTGCGTTCTTCAACATCGCGTACAGCAGCAGCCGTTGTTCGCCCGTTATGACTAACGGGGCTTCGCCAACTTTGCGTGCACTGTTTCACCAAACCATGCACTGCTGGCCTGGCCGAGTCGGCCTGACATTCTGGTTCTACCGACACAGGAAGGACAAATCGGACCCTGGGTACCGTCGTATTTTATGGAGGTACCTCAAGATCGCATGTGGGACGCGTGGTGCGCAGGTCTGCATTCGAGGTTTGAGCCAGCACTTAGCGCCAGCTAAGCTCCGCCCAAGACTACACCAGTAGGTTTTTGGCGATATGCGAGCAAGTTGGACATATGCACGAGGGAGAGCGCATTGACCGCTATGTCGGCGGCTTGAATTACGAGATCGCTCAGGAAATCCTGCTTTGCAACGTCACCGAATTCAATGAGATACTTGCCATGGCGGAAAATTTGGATTTTCTTCATCGACCAAGACCGGGGTCCTACGGCAACAACAGCAGTTGGGGACATCGGACTCGTGGAACGATCGAGCAAGCCACGATACGCGCCATCGCCGCGAATGCCGCTGCTGCACCGTTCAAAGGGCGCTGCTTCGCGTGCAACACGCCGGGGCATCGTAAGAGCGAATGCCCGGAAAACGCTAACAGAAAGGGGGAAGCTGAGCAGCAGAAACAGACTAAGAAGCAGGGAAACGCTAGGAGTCAGAAGCAGACAAGCCCTCTAATAACAGGTCACGCCGCTCGCCCGACCCAACCGACCCTCACCGAGTGATTGTGCCGGTTCACGCAATCGACCACACCCGGCCGAATAAGGAGGGTACAACGGTTGACATCCCCATACTGCTTAGTGGGAAAATACAGACAGAATTAGTTAAGATCTTCGTAGACCGGGGGCTAGCCACAGCCTGATCAACATCGCAACAGCATGGAGACTGAAACTGCCACTGGACAGATATTTACCTGGGTTCACAAACGACTGGTCGACGGCACGCTACTCACGATACGGGAACGCATGGACTGAGTTCAGATATGATGCGGGGGTAAATTCACGCTTACCCAAGAAATGCTTGCAACGACCCTTGACAGAACCGACATTTTACTCGGGCGTGATTGGCTGTGACGACACAACCCGCGAATTGACTGGACGACGGGTGACTCCACCGTGCGAGTGAACGGTACCAACATCGCCTTACCTCGCTGGAGCTCGCCTGAGTCTTCGTTGGTGCGTGTCAACGCAATCACGATGAAACGCGTCGGAGCAGCAGGAGCAGCAATCACGATGTGTATGCGGTTGACATTCGAGAAGCCGAGGCAGCAGACAAACCGAGCGATTTACAAAAACTGCTTGCCAACGTATGGGATGACTTGGCAGCGCTATTGAAGCAGTACAACGGGATTTTTCTGGATGAGCTACCGGAGGGACTGCCATCTCAGCAACCGCATGACCACAGGATAGAATTAGATCCGGGGGCACAGGCGACAGTACAGAGACAGTTCAAACAGACCCAACCCGAACTGGACGAACTACGGAAGCAACTGGACTACCCACTCGAGAAAAAGTTCATTCGCCCGAGCTCGTCACCCTTCGCAACACCGATACTGTTCAAACTGAAAAAAAAGATTGAGGTTTTCGCATGTGCATAGATTACCGTGCACTGAACATGGTTACAATCAAGTCCCGTTACCCCATCCCGCGAGCCGACAAACAGATAGTCCAACTTCGCACAGCCCGAGTCTTATCGAAGATCAACCTTCGAAGGGGTTACCATCAGATCCGCGTCAACCCACCCGACTGCCCGAAAATCGCTTTACGAACCCGATACGGATCTTTCGAATATACCGTCATGCCCTTCGGACTGAACACCGCCCCCGCCACCTTCGAAATGACCATGAACGAAGCATTCCGCCCACTCTTAGATAAGTGCGTAATTGTCTACTTTGATGACATACTGATCTACAGCTCGGACAGAGCATACCACCTACAGGACTTCGAAGCAGTTCTCAAGATACTGAGTGAGAACCGCCTACTAACCAAAGCCTCTAAATGTGTGTCTCTATAGGACAGACTAGAGTTTTTAGGGCACATTATTTCAGCCAACGGAGTTGAAATAGACCTAAAGAAGATCACGATGATTCAAGCATGGCACGCGCCGACCAACTTGACGAAGTTGCAGAGTTTTCTGGGGTTCATCAACTACGTGCGACGACGGTTCATCCCCAACATGGCACAGTCGACTGCCCCGTTGACCGACTTGCTGGAGAAGGGGGTTGAGTATACGCGGGGGGAGAAGAGCAAGCTGCCTTCTTGGCCCTAAAAAAAGAATTGTGCTTCACATTGCAGATCGCCACCATCCATTCCAGCTCATCACCGACGCAAGCAACATTGGTGTGGGAGCAGTACTATCGCAGGACTTCAAGAACGGCCTTCAGCAAATCACGTACAAGTCCCGCAACGCGCCCGAATGCAACTCCCCGATACACGACCGCAAGATGCTGGCGATCATGCACGCGTTCAAAGTATGACGGTGCTACCTGACAGGAGCCGACGTGACAGTACGGACAGCTCATCGTGCACTCCAGTACCTTCGCGCCCTTGCGAATCTCAATCCGCGACAGATCTGCTGGTTGGACTATCTGGAGTCCAACTTCCACTACACCGTCACGTACAAAAAGGAGCATCCAACATCACCGACGCTCTCACCCGCCCCACTGCCCAACTTCACGCCATCCTACTCGCCCAAACCAACCCACTGTTAAGAGGCCTATTTACCCACGGATACCGGACCGATCCATTTTTCACGACCGGAAATTCGCAGCAACTGGCAGAAGCAAAGGGAGTCTATTGCGTACAAACAGGCACCGACTGCATATGGGTACCAGCGCACTCACTACTGAGGGAATTGTTATTGTAGGAGGCACACGACGGATGCTATCACATTTGAGTGAATGTGAAGGATACAGAGGACGGAAGGAGGGGAAGGTGTACATACTGTATATACTGTACATAAATGAGACAGTGGCTAAGGGGGATGGGAGGCGAAGAGTCAGGCAGTCATTTACGTAACGAGGAGTCAGGATGGGGTTGGCGCCTGCCGAGGCAGAGGGTCGGAAGATACTGAGGGGCAAATGGGGTGGCACTGACATGAGCGGGGCAGGACAGGACAGGAAGCAGAGGCGGGAGACAAGGCAGTGACAGTTGGAAGGCAGGGGATTGCTGGCAAAGGATGGGTGAGTGTGTGCATGCGTGTTTGCTTCGAGTGTGTGCAGGACTGCTACAGGGAGCCAGCTGGAACTGGATGTCAGCAGCTGGAGGCAGAGTAGCTAGGGTTGGGAATGGAGGGCAAGATGCACAACGGCTGCAAGTCTGCTCGTAAAGGCTCTGAGCTGAACACGAGCAGCCTAGGATGAGGGGAATGTGCTATAGAGGGTGTTGCGCTGGTAGAATAGGAGGAACCCCGGTTAGAAATTCTCATTGCTTGTATGTTTACCTTACTACACGAAAGTTTTGCTGTAGATCGAGCAAGACAGTGCTGCTAGGGAGATATGGCAGGCAATCTAGAGAAGCCATAGGCATTGGGTGAACGTGTGTGAAGGAGCTGAGAGCTCATCACATACAAGCAATCTGCTGGAGTAGAGCATGCCCACGAGGTTCGGACTAGATTTTGCAGTCAAGCATCGGTTCGTAACAATGGACGATGGGGAAAAGAATGAGCGCGTGACGGGCACGCAGACGGAAGCGCAAGGCACTGAAGGTGGAGAAAACCCGAGGATAGGAGGAGCCGCAGGCTCAGATGGGGAGCGCGGGAAACCGCGAGAAGCTGACCCAGAGGGAGCGAAGGGCGGTGGCGAGAAGCTGGTTCGCGAAGATGCGATGGTGACAGGCGGAGAAAGAAGGGGGTACGAGGGGATGTACCAGCGCAGCGCGTCATGGCAGGGTTTCGAAGAGGAGGCAGCATTGACACGATGGCGCTACACGATGTTGCCGAAGGTGGAAGTGCCGGAGCGCTTTTCAAGAGAGACGCGCCGGGGACCGTCACTGAAGAATTACCTGATGCAGCTGGAGAACCTACAGGCACGCTGGGAGCGAGATCGGCTAGCCGCGGATGAGTTCTTCAGAGGGCTGGCCAATACTATGACGGGCAAAGACGAGACTTACTACCGGATATGTCGGCGAAAAGGTGCTGGATTGGGCGGAGCAGGGGAGGCCAAGGGAGCGGGATCCTACCAAGCGATTTCTTGAGATGCTGCGCGAGCAGTTCCCGCTGCAGACGCCAGAGCGCGTGGTAGAGTTCGGGATTTCAAGCGAAGGACGGGAGAATCCCTGCTGGCCTACTATGGCAGGCTTGTGGAGCTAGGAGAGGATATGAACTGTGGAGATCAGGGCCGTCTCGTCAGCAAGTTTCTCAATGGCCTGAACTACGAGTTGCAGCGGGACGTGCAAGTGAAGATATTTGAAATGGGGGCTGCCGCAACGCTGCGGGTGGCATATGAGACAGCGAAGAGGGTAGAGACGGGGAGACGCCTGTTCGCAGTGGAGCGAACGGGGGAGCGAGCGGCGGACAGAAGGAGGCCGGCTTGGATTGCGAGTCCCGTGGAATACGAGAAACCGCCGAGAGGAGCGGGGGATGCCAGTAAATGCCACAATTGCGGAAAGGGTGGCCACCTGTGTCAAATTATATATGTGATATATATGTGTAGGCTGTAGTGGGGCAGCCAAAATGGGGTATAGCCCCTTTAGGGTTTCATATTTGTACCCAACTTCATTCTAGTTCATTCATTCCTGCCTAGACTTTCAGACATGGTTTCAGAACAGTAGGTCCGTAGGACCGTTTTTTTTTTTTTTTTTTTCCGGGCCCACCTACCGTTGCGGTTACTGAGCTGCCCCACATGCCTGCGCTGCGCCGCCTCGCGCGCGCCCTGTCTTGCCTGCGCTGCGCCCACGCGCGTGCCCTGCCTTGCCTGCGCTGCGCCCCACGCGCGCGCCCTGCCTTGCCTGAGCTGCGCTGCCCGCGCGCGCTGCCCTAGACCCGCGCGCAGCCCCCTGCTGCTCCGCGCGTCGCGTCCGCCGCCTGCGCAGCCCGCTGCTGCCCCGCGCGCCGCGGCTGCCACCCTCGCGCAGCCCGCTGCTGCCCCGCACGTCGCGTCCGCTGCCTGCGCAGCCCGCTCCTACCCCGGCGTCGTGTCCGCCACCCGCGCAGCCCGCGGCTGCCCCGCGCGCCGCGTCCGCAGCCCTCGCGCGGCCCGGCGCTGCCCCGCGCGCCGCCTCAGCCGCTCGCGCAGCCCGCGACTGCCCTGCGCGCAGCCTTACCCGCCCGCGCGCCGCTCTAACAGCTCGTGTGCCGCCACTGCAACCCTGCGCGCAGCTTCTCCCAACCTGCGCTCTGCCTTGCAGCCTGCGCGCTACACTTACCTGCGCTGCAAGCATGGCGACTCTCAACATGCTCCCTTTCGATCCTGACGGTCGCCCGATAGAGTTTGCCACTTGGCTCGACGACCTGCAACTGTTTCTTATGACTGATGCCAAAGACGGCGTTTCACTGTTCGATCACGCGTCTGGCACTTCCGTTGCTCCTGCTGACACTGCCCCCGTTCTCGACCGCTCACAGTGGCAGACCCGTGATGCTGCTGCGCGCCTCGCTATTCGCAACCATCTGCCGATCACTGAGCGCGCGCATTTTAGTCAGCACAAGACTGCTAAGGCACTGTATGAGGCTGTAGTTGCCCGCTACTCTTCCCCAGCCACTGCAGCCCTAGGTCGTCTTCTCCTACCCTACCTGTTCCCCGACCTGTCCTCGTTTACCACCGCTGAGGACCTCATCTCTCACCTGCGCGCTAGTGACGCTCGCTTTCGTGCCGCCCTTCCAGACGAGTTCCTCGCCGAGAATCCCCCCCCGATGTACTTTACTCTCTACTTCCTCGTCACCCGCCTCCCTGACACTCTTCGTTCAGTCAGGGACCACTTTCTCGCCCTAGACCCTACCGCTATCACTGTCGCCGACTTCGAGAAGCACCTCCTAGCAGCTGAAAAGAACATTCTCGCTGTAGGTGCTGCTCGTGGCACTCCTCGCACTCCCCTCTTTGAGGGGTGCTCCCCCTCCCCTCTTGCCCCCTCCTACGCCTCTGCTGCTGCTGCTGTCGACTTCCTTGGTGCTGAGGAGGTCGGGGCTGCTTCCGCTCCTAGTGGGAAGCGCCGCAGCGCCAGGGGCAACAGGGGTGGCAGGGGAGGTGGAGGTGGCGGTGGAGGGGGCGGTGGTGGAGGCGGCGGGGGAGGTGAAGGTGCTGGGGGTGGTAGTGGAGGTGGAGGTGGTGGTGGGGGCGGCGGTGGTACTGGGAGCGGTGGAGGTGGCAGCGGCGGTAGTGGGGGAGGAGGGAGCGGTGGTGGCAGCGGTGGTGCGGGCTGGAGTGGAACCGGCTAGAAGGGGAGCTCCAGTGGTGGCCAGGGACAGCAGCAGCAGCAGCAGCAGCAGCAGCAGCCGCAGCAGCAGCAGCAGCAACAGCAGAAGCAGCAGCAGCAGCAGCAGCAGCAGCAGCAGCAGCAGCAGCAGCAGCAGCAGCAGCAGCAGCAGCAGCAGCAGCAGCAGCAGCAGCAGCAGCAGCAGCAGCAGCAGCAGCAGCAGCAGCAGCAGCAGCAGCAGCAGCAGCAGCAGCAGCAGCAGTAGCAGCAGCAGTAGCAGACCCTCTCCCCTCAGCAGCTTCATGATTGATATGCTCAGCGTGGGGTGTCTGGGGGTCCTGTCCGCTGCCCGTATATCGTTCGTACAGGCCCCCGCACTAGTCAGCCATGCGGCGGGTATCACACTGAGTACGGCTGCTTCTCTCGGCTTAGCGACGCCTGGCGCACCAAGTTTCCTGAGGCTACTGAGTTCCCCCCTTGGGTAGACCTGCTTAGGCGTGGTGTTTCTATCTTTGATCTTGACTATAATGCAATTCTTGCTGCCATGTATGCATTGACTGTTAGTGCTGAGGGTGACTGCTACTTGTGTATGCCGCCTGATCCAGGTATAGAGGCTGCAGCTCTAGGTGCCAGTGAGTCTGCTCTCCCTGGTACTGCGTCGGCTCAGGCCTTGCACACCTTTACACTTGACTCTGGTGCTTCTCGCTGTTTCTTTCGCGACAGTACCACAGTCACTCCCCTCCCTGCACCTGTCCCTGTCTCACTGGCTGACCCCTCTAGGGGCCCAGTGCTTGCACGGCCCACTCTTGTGCTTCCGTGTCTGGCGGTCCCGTCCGGTGAGCTGTCTGGTCTTCACATCCCCTCGTTCTCTACGAACCTGGTGAGCACCGCCGTCCTTCAGGATCACTGGGTTGACACCTTTACTCCTGGAGGACAGCGTGTGACGCACTGCACGTGCTCTCGGACCGGCCGCCACCTGGCCACGTTCACACGTGCGCCTGGGTCCAGTCTGTACACCCTCACCGCTGTGTCGCGCTCCGCCCCTTTGTCTCCTCAGCTGTACGCGTCTGCTCAGGTAGCTACCTAGTGTGAGTGTCGCCGCCTGTCGCACCAGACTCTCCTGTGGCACCACCGCCTTGGTCACCCCTCCCTACCTCGCCTTCGTGGCATGCACTCTCGCTCCCTGGTCTCTGGTCTTCCCAGGTCTCTGCCCTCCCTCCCTCCCTCGCCTGCGCCGCCCTGCATTCCTTGCGTCGAGGGGCAGCAGCGCGCCGCTCCTTACTCAACCTCGTTCCCTCCCACAGAGGCTCCACTGCAGACTCTCCACCTGGACGTGTGGGGCCCAGCCCGCGTCCAGGGGCAGGGCCGCGAGCGGTACTTCCTGCTGGTCGTCGACGACTACACGCGTTACACCACGGTCTTCCCCTTGCAGCGCAAGGGGGACGTCCCTGCTGTTTTGATCCCCTGGATCCGCGCTGCTCGTCTCCAGCTCCGCGAGCGGTTCGAGTCGGACTTTCCTGTCCTGCGTCTGCACTCTGACAGAGGTGGTGAGTTCACCTCCGACCTCTTGCGAGCCTTCTGTGAGGAGCACGGCATCCGCAGATCCGCGCTGCTCGTCTCCAGCTCCGCGAGCGGTTCGAGTCGGACTTTCCTGTCCTGCGTCTGCACTCTGACAGAGGTGGTGAGTTCACCTCCGACCTCTTGCGAGCCTTCTGTGAGGAGCACGGCATCCGCCAGTCATTCACGCTTCCGGCCTCTCCGCAGCAGAATGGGGTTGCTGAGCGCTGCATTGGCTTAGTCATGGAGGTCGCTCGTACCTCCATGATCCATGCGGCTGCCCCCCATTTTCTGTGGCCGTTTGCGGTCCAGTACGCCGCGCATCAGCTCAACCTCTGGCCCCGTGTCTCCGTGCCGGAGACCTCGCCCACACTACGTTGGACGGGGGAGGTTGGCGATGCGTCGCGTTTCCGGGTCTGGGGTGCTCGTGCCTTTGTCCGCGATCTCACCGCGGACAAGCTCTCTGCTCGCGCCATTCCCTGTGTCTTCCTTGGCTTTCCCCCTGACGCGCCTGGCTGGCAGTTTTACGACCCCGCCTCGCGCCGTGTCTTTGCGTCTCAGGACGTCACCTTCGACGAGTCGGTCCCCTTTTACCGTCTCTTTCCCTACCGCACTGCCCCTCTCCCCCCCCCCTGCCGCTCTTTCTCGCTCCAGGTCCTCCCCAGGTAGACCCCCCTACTTCCCCCTCCAGGTCCTACTCCTTCAGGTGTGTCTCAGGTAGACCCTCCCTTGACTGAGCCTATTGAGGTCACTGGTGACTCAGGTCCTACTGGGGGTGGTCCTGCTCGGGGTGTTGGGCCTGAGGGTGCGGAGCCTGGGGGTGCTGAGCCTGGGGGTGCGGAGCCTGGGGGTGCTGAGCCTGAGCGTGAGGAGCCTGGGGGTGTTGAGTTTGGGGGTGCGGAGCCTGGGGTTGCTGAGCCTGCGCGTGAGGAGCCTGGGGGCACTGGGTCTGGGGGTGCTGAGACTGGGGGTGCTGAGCCTGGGGGTACTGAGGCTTCTGGTGAGAGGTCTCCTTGGAGTGGCCGCCTATGCAGTCACACTCGTCGGCGTGAGCCTCTCTCCCCACAGCAGCTACACGAGTGGTACGCTCGCCGTCAGGGTCGCGCTGCTGGAGCTCGGGGCTCTGCCACTGGTGGGGCTTCTGCTGACGTCTCTGGAGCTGGGAGTGGTGCTGGTTCTTTGTCTGTTGGAGGTGCTTGTACTGGAGGTACTGGAGCTGCTGGGGCTGGAGGTGCTAGGTCTGGGGGTGCTGCTGCTGGAGACACTGAGGCTGGAGACCCTGGGACTAGAGGTGCCAGTTCTGGGGGTGCTGCTGCTGGAGGCACTGAGGCTGGAGACCCTGGGACTGGAGGTGCCGGTTCTGGGGGTGCTGCTGCTGGTGGCGCTGGTACGGGAGGTGCTAGCGCTCGAGGTTCTGGAGGTGCTGGAGGTGCTGACGCTGTAGGCCCTGGCGCTGGAGGTTCTGGAGCTGCTGCTGATGCTGGGACTGGAGGTGCTGGCGCTGGAGGTTCTGGAGCTGCTAGAGGTGCTGGAGCTGCTGGAGGTGGTGGAGCTGCTGGTGCTGGGGGCACTGCGCAGCCACGACTGTTCTTCGCTCCGCCGTCTCCGTCGTCTCAGCCACCGCCTGACTCTGTACTTCGCCAGGTTCTTAGCCTCCCGTCGTCTACTGGTCTTCCGTTACAGCCTGGCTCACCGCTGCCTGCTCCTTCTCCTTACACTGAGTAGACATGGGGTCCTACTGAGCGTCGTGAGCCTGCGTCGCGTCCTGTTTCGCCTGTTCGCACTAGTCGCACTGGTCGTGTTCCTCGTGAGCATCCGCCTGCTATTCCCGGCACGCACCTCATGGTACTACGTCCTTCCTCTGTTCCACAGCATGTTCCTCTGCCGTCTCCTCCTGCGTCCTCTCTGCCTGACGTTCCCGACCCTGAGTCTGACCGGTTTCGTGCTGCACACCCTACTGTCACGCGTCTGTTAGCCACTGTTGTCACTGACCCGTCGTTTGAGTCTGCTGCTGCGTCTGCCTTAGTCGCTGAGCTTGTTGCCTTTGCTGCTGCCTGTCGTCTAGACAACGCCGCTAGTCTTGTTCCTGATTCTGAATCTGTCTGTCCTCCGTCCGTCGGGGGTGAGTGTGCTCTTGGCACGGACGTCCTTAAGGACAGGCAGGAGGACCTTGAGTGTCTTGCAGCCGCTGCGCCTCATCTCGTGGCCATGCTGCTTGCCCCTGAGGGAGACCCGGATGCACCAGACATCCCGACCCCGCGCTCTTACGCTGAGGCGATCGCGGGTGAGTACTCCTCTCAGTGGCAGACAACCATGGACGCAGAGATGGCATCCTGGAAGTCCACAAGCACTTACGTCGATGAGGTTCCCCCTCCTGGGGCGAACATCGTCGATGGCATGTGGATTTTCAGGGTGAAGCGGCCGCTGGGTTCTCCGCCTGTCTTCAAGGCTCGTTACGTTGCACGAGGCTTCAGTCAGCGTGAGGGAGTTGACTTCTTCCAGACCTTCTCCCCCACCCTGAAGATGTCCACACTTTGGGTACTACTGCACGTTGCCGCCCAGCATGACTACGAGCTTCACTCTCTAGACTTCAGCACAGCCTTCTTACAGGGCAGCCTGCACGAGGAGATCTGGCTGCACCGCCCTCCTGGCTTCACTGGGTCGGTTCCTCCTGGTACCCAGTGGAGCCTCCGGCGGCCAGTCTACGGTCTTCGCCAGGCGCCTCGTGAGTGGCACGACACACTGAGGACTACACTTGCGGCTCTTGGATTTCCTCCTTCGACTGCTGACCCGTCGCTGTTTCTGCGCACCGACACTTCGCTGCTGCCGTTCTACATCCTCGTGTACGTTGACAACCTGGTCTTTTCCACTGCTGACACTGAGGCTCTCGCCCTAGTGAAGTCGGAGCTGCAGAAGAGATACACGTGCACAGACCTGGGTGAGCTACGCAGTTACCTTGGCTTGCAGATCACCCGGGACCGAGCAGGCCGCGCCATCACACTGACTCAGTCACACATGGTGCAGCAGGTCCTTCAGCGCTTCGGCTTCACCTGGTCCTCGCCACAGTCCACTCCTATGGCTACATGTCACTCGCTCTCAGCTCCACCTTTGGACGAGTCCGTAGAGCCGAGTGGTCCTTACCCAGAGCTAGTGGGCTGCCTCATGTACCTGATGACCTGCACTCGTCCTGACCTTGCGTACCCTCTTGGCCTTCTGGCTCGCTACGTGGCTCCTGGCCGGCACCGAAAGGTGCACATGGATGCTGCGAAGAGGGTACTGCGCTACCTGTGCAGTACATCGTGCATGGGGCTCGTGCTTGGAGGACGGGGTGACGTTGTCCTCACTGGACACTCTGACGCGTCTTGGGTTGACGACCTGGCTACGCAGCGGTCGTCACAGGGTTACACTTTCAGCCTAGGGTCCGGCTCTGTTTCTTGGCGGTCTACTCGCTCTTCTTCTGTTCTCGGCTCCAGTTGTGAGGCTGAGATCTACGCCACAGCCATGGCTGCACAGGAGTTACGTTGGCTCACCTACCTGCTGACCGACTTGGGAGAGAGGCCTCGTTCTCCTCCAGTTTTGTACGTCGACAACAAGGCCGCCATTGCCTTGTGTCAAGAGCACAGACTGGAGCACAGAACGAAGCACATCGCTCTGCGTTACTTTCTGGCTCGAGAGTTGCAGTAGCGTGGTCAGCTTCGTCTTGCTCACGTGGCCACTCAGGCCAACACTGCTGATGTATTCACCAAGGC